GACGGCAGGTCTGTGTGGCCCTGTTAGCTGATAGAGTCTCTATAGGAATAGTTGTTACTACAGGACCATTTCTCTGATGTCTCCTAAAATAATCTATAGCAGACGAGTGCTGCTATCCTCCAACTAGCAAGCAGTATTTCTGGCATTCTGATTACATCAGTGAGATTTAAATACATCAGTGAGATTTAAACCCTGGTTACATTGCATTTAGGTTTGTGTGGCCACTTCTCAAGACAGTGGGTGTTATATTGCCTTTAGGTTTGTGTGGCCACTTCTCCAGACAGTGGGTGTTACATTGTGTTTAGGTTTATGTGGCCACTTCTCCAGACAGTGGGGGTTACATTGTGTTTAGGTTTATGTGGCCACCTATCCAGACAGTGGGTGTTACATTGTGTTTAGGGTTGTGTGGCCACTTCTCCAGACAGTGGGTGTTACATTGCCTTTAGGTTTGTGTGGCCACTTCTCCAGATAGTGGGTGTTACATTGTGTTTAGGTTTGTGTTGCCACCTCTCCAGACAGTGGGTGTTACATTGTGTTTAGGTTTATGTGGCCACGTCTCCAGACAGTGGGTGTTACATTGTGTTTAGGTTTATGTGGCCACTTCTCCAGACAGTGGGTGTTACATTGTGTTGGGGTTTGTGTGGCCACTTCTCCAGACAGTGGGTGATATATTGCCTTTAGGATTGTGTGGCCACTTCTCCAGACAGTGGGTGTTACATTGTGTTTAGGTTTATGTGGCCACCTATCCAGACAGTGGGTGTTACATTGTGTTTAGGTTTATGTGGCCACTTCTCCAGACAGTGGGTGTTACATTGTTTTTAGGTTTGTGTGGCCACTTCTCCAGACAGTGGGTGTTACATTGCATTTGAGTTTGTGTGGCCACTTCTCCAGACAGTGGGTGTTACACTGCCTTTAGGTTTGTGTGGCCACCTCTCCTGACAGTGGGTGTTACATTGCATTTGGGTTTGTGGGGCCACTTCTCCAGACAGTGGGTGTTACATTGCCTTTAGGTTTGTGTGGCCACTTCTCCAGACAGTGGGTGTTACATTGCGTTTAGGTTTGTGAGGCCACTTCTCCAGACAGTGGGTGTTATATTGCCATTGGGTTTGTGTGGCCACCTCTCCAGACAGTGGGTGTTACATTGCCTTTAGGTTTGTGTGGCCACCTCTCCAGACAGTGGGTGTTACATTGTGTTAAGGTGTGTGTGGCCACTTCTCTAGACAGTGGGTGTTGCATTGCCTTTAGGTTAGTGTGGCCACCTCTCCAGACAGTGGGTGTTACATTGTGTTAAGGTGTGTGTGGCCACTTCTCCAGACAGTGGGTGTTGCATTGCCTTTAGGTTTGTGTGGCCACCTCTCCAGACAGTGGGTGTTATATTGCCTTTAGGTTTGTGTGGCCACTTTTCCAGACAGTGGGTGTTACATTGTGTTTAGGTTTGTGAGCCCACTTCTTCAGACAGTGGGTGTTACATTGTGTTTAGGTTTGTGTGGCCACCTCTCCAGGCAGTGGGTGTTACATTGCCTTTAGGTTTGTGTGGCCTCTTCTCCAGACAGTGGGTGTTGCATTGCCTTTAGGTTTGTGTGGCCGCCTCTCCAGACAGTGGGTGTTATATTGCCTTTAGGTTTGTGTGGCCACTTTTCCAGACAGTGGGTGTTACATTGTGTTTAGGCTTGTGAGGCCACTTCTCCAGACAGTGGGTGTTACATTGTGTTTAGGTTTGTGAGCCCACTTCTCCAGACAGTGGGTGTTACATTGTGTTTAGGTTTGTGAGGCCACTTCTCCAGACAGTGGGTGTCACACTGCCTTTAGGTTTGTGTGGTCACCGCTCCAGACAGTGGGTGTTATATTGTGTTTAGGTTTGTGAGGCCACTTCTCCAGACAGTGGGTGTTACACTGCCTTTAGGTTTGTGTGGTCACCTCTCCAGACAGTGGGTGTTATATTGTGTTTAGGTTTGTGTGGCCACTTCTCCAGAAACAATGCATACACATACACATCACATTTTTTTTTTTTTAAATAAGATGTAATTTGAAAGTAAAAGCTTGGTTAGATCTATATACAACCAAACCTTGTTGTATGGCATGCCTTTGTCCCAATGGGTTTTTCTCTCCTAACACAAAACAAAAAGAACATGCATGGTGACGGTCAGCTTTCCAACGACAAAGAAAGTGATATGGCATGTAGTTAACAAGCAGACAAGGGCAGACTACTCCTTAGAGGGTTTTTTAATTCGATGCAGTGGTACAGGTATATAGTCATTCTTACTGGTCATACATATATATATATATAGGCAACTGTTGAAGTCTTAGAATTAGGAGATTAAATTGTGGAAGTATAAATATAAATTGTATGCTATGCTTATATTTAAATACTTTTTCAAGCTGAAGGAGTGCCATCCCTTTAATGTCGGTTTTACAAAATAATTCTGAACAGAAAAAAATATATTTCATTAGCTGGTAATTGAAAATAAAAAAAAATCTGGTATTTTGATTACATCAGTTCGGTGAAGATAAGTGGTTTTGTGAGACTGATCATTATCGTAAATAAATGGGTATTTTGTCAGGTAGACACGATTTAATGATAACCGGACGTAATAGACAAGACCGAACGTAGGAAGTCAAACTGGCCTTGGTTTTAAGGGAGACTTGGAATCCCAATATCGGTAGGGTGTCTGACTAGAGTTAATGGAAACTGACAAATGAGCATAGATGATAGGGAAAGTGTCGGGGAGGGGAAGGTGTCGTGTCTGGGGACTCTAGGACCCACCAGATTAACATGTAATGGGGTGGTTGTACAGTGGAAGGTACAAAGGGAGTGGAGTATGTACCACAGACAAATCAACTTACACAGCAGATCAAGACAGGTTAAGTCTGGGGGATGGCAGACTTAAAATACCATAGGCAGGGCTCAATTTTTGCAATGGAGCCAGAATTGATTCCATTTTTTATTAAAATAAAATATTTTGTGAAAAGCAGAGAATGGTTTTCCATTAACTATTTCACCCCTGAAGACATATTTGAACTCTGCCAAATCAAAGGTTGGAATAGTTCATTATGAAATTTCAGGGGTGAATGAGTTAATGGAGTTAAGTGACTGAAGACTTTTACAAGAACAAAATGCAGCAAAACATTATGCAGCCTGAGAATGTTTTAATACATATGAACTAAGGAAGGCTAGCTTTCTGTGCACTGGTATAATTGTAACGACCAGATCTAGAGGGGTCATGGGTTAATTTGTACTCTGTCCATCTGTTAGATTCATCTGTCCATCCAAATTTTACTTTTTCTGGGGATATATCTCATAATTAACTCACCTACAATTTTGTATTGTAAGCACCTCTTTAAATTGTGTTGCTAATTGAAATGGATAATACTAATATTTACAGTTAAATAGTCCACTTTTCACTTTCAGTAAACCTTTTCTGTAGCATATCTCTGTATTCTATTGGGAGACTATAAATGCCAAGATTTCTTATGGATGGCATGTACTGAAATCAGGTCTTGTGCCCCATCATATGGATGCAGGTATACACCAGGCTGGTTCATGTTGGGTTATTAGTATATCCTGGTCTGATACAATAAACCAGGCTGGTTCATGTCGGGTTAGTATATCCTGGTCTGATACAATATACCAGGCTGGTTCATGTCGGGGTATTAGTATATCCTGGTCTGATACAATAAACCAGTCTGGTTCATGTCGGGTTAGTATATCCTGGTCTGATACAATATACCAGGATGGTTCATGTCGGGTTATTAGTATATCCTGGTCCGATACAATACACCAGGCTGGTTCATGTCGGGGTATTAGTATATCCTGGTCTGATACAATAAACCCGGCTGGTTCATGTCGGGTTAGTATATCCTGGTCTGATACAATATACCAGGATGGTTCATGTCGGGTTATTAGTATATCCTGGTCTGATACGATATACCAGGCTGGTTCATGTCGGGGTAGTATATCCTGGTCTGATACAATATACCAGGATGGTTCATGTCGGGTTATTAGTATATCCTGGGCTGATACAATACACCAGGCTGGTTCATGTCGGGGTATTAGTATATCCTGGTCTGATACAATAAACCAGTCTGGTTCATGTCGGGTTAGTATATCCTGGTCTGATACAATATTCCAGGCTGGTTCATGTCGGGTTATTAGTATATCCTGGTCTGATACGATATACCAGGCTGGTTCATGTCGGGTTAGTATATCCTGGTCTGGTACAATATACCAGGCTGGTTCATGTCAGGTTAGTATATCCTGGTCTGGTACAATAAACCAGGCTGTTTCATGTCAGTTTAGTATATCCTGGTCTGGTACAATATACCATATACATGCTCAGGTTTATATGGCTGGTCATTCCCCATTGATGTCCTTACGTAATGAAACAGGCTGGTTTCCTTGTATCCTTACTTCACTTCTCTAGGGGGTTATATTCTAAAACTGAGAAAAAGGATAAAGCTTAATTTGGTCTGTTGCTGCTATTGTCTGAATTTGTGGGTGTTTGATCCTGGATGTTAACAGAAGCTTTGCCCAAGGGCACATTGTGAACGTTGTTCAGAATTTAGATTCAGATTATCCATAAAACACATTACCATATCATAACTCATTGATTCAAAGCTCAAGTTCCTGGAGTTATAAGTGGTCACTGAATCCCCTTTAAGTGTTTGATGTAGCATTAATGGAAACAGATACAAAAACTATCCCGGATAATATGAAGCAATTTTCTCTTTAAAAAAACACTGTTTGGATTTTAAGTGTTGGAACCTGTTGCCTTGGTGATTGAATGTGATGGCCAGTAATGTAAAGGTAGTTGACTTGTAATTGTAAAGCGTATTTTCCTATTGGTTGACACCATTCAATCACTGGCTGCCCTTGGTGACAGTTTGACTCTGTTATGAACGACTTTATGTATACGTTATTTCTGTATAATTGTTTTCCATGTACCCGACTATTGACTTATATACATGTATACCTAACATTTCTGTTACCTTTTTCATTGCAGATGTCCCCTACACATTTGAAGGAGAATCGCCAGAGCCCATTGTCATAATAGATGATCATAACATTTACAAAAGAGCAGTCGGCACAAATGACACCAACAACATTAACAACGGAGTGACAACTGAAGGGCCACCTACAACTGCAGGTCCAAATGTTCCCCCTGTTCCAACAACGGCAGCTCCAGCTCCACCGACAACAGCAGCACCTGTTCCTACCACAAAGGCGCCCTCTGGTGGAGGTGTCACAACTGAACCAACGACACCGTTAACAACAATCAAAATTGTTAGTATATATGTACCTCCCCATTCTATTGCTATATTACAGGAACTCCAGCAGCTACAATAAAGGCTATTTTAGACTGATTAGGGTCCAGCATCAGAGATTCGGGTGCCCTTTAGTAATTACTATGTCCATCTGTCTGTCTGTCTGCAGTCTGTGTATCCACACTTTTGTTTCTTGAAACTTTCTGAAATTCAACATTGTGTTATACTGTGAGATGGAGATGTGCAATAGGAGTTTAACAAATTTCTAAGGTCAAGGTCACTGTCAAAAGATGGGGAGAGTAGGGTCCTTATCTCGGAATCCAAGGTTGTGATCTTTTAGATATTTGACATTGTGATACACTATATACATGTGCAATTGGAGTTTAACATTTTCTAAGGTCAAGGTCACTGTTACTAATAATAGAGGTGTGTGTGTGTCAAGTTTACAGTCCTTATCTCAGAATCTAAATGTGTAATCTTTTGATATGGTGATACACTGTGATATGTAGATGTGTAAAAGGGATTCATATAGCTTTTAAGGTCAAAGTCACTGTTACTTAAAATAGAGCATGGGGGTAACATTCCCTATCTACAAATCAGAAAGACTGATCTTTTGAAAATTTGTCATCATGATACACTGTGATATGTAGATATGCAATAAGGGTTTAAAAGGTCAAGATCACTGTTACTAAAAATAGACACAACTTTTTGTAGGCTCATATGAATTGGCAAATGTTTGAACGGAGAGTTCTAGAGCTTTGTGTGTTGCTCATATATAAACTGGTAAATTAGGGCGACGTGGTTCTGGAGCACATATAAAGGATATGTAAACACTGTAACATAGGAATTTTATTTATTTGAAAAAGACATTTTTAGAATGTTTTGCTTTGATGCTGTGTTTACCAGTCTTATGTATGTCAAGAAACATGTATTACATGTTAAAGGTGGGTGAATATACTTGCTGACAACATATTGAACATGTTCATTTTACGTTGCAAGACAGAAGTCACGGTCACTGCCTTCTGTCACAGAGCTATATGGCCAGCTGTCATTTTTGCGTTGATCTTGTTAGCAGTAAGGAAGTGCTGAGATATTTTTGGAAGTATGGACCACCAAGACATCAGACACAGACTGGTATTAATGATGATTATCTGTGGTCCATGTTTATAGGCAGACAACCCATCATTTACAACTACACACTTCATTTACACTGATCTAGTGCTGCAAAATAACACCACACATTTGTCTTTGTCAAAGTTATCTTCTGATGTAAAATCTGACAAGTGGGGATTCCTTACCAGTCAGTCAGAGGGTATTAGTTTGTCTGGGCTGAAATGACCAGTTTTGTCTGGAACAAATATAGATGTGGACTTGGAGGTACATATTACTTACTTGTGGAAACAATAAGTAGATTTGGAGGTACATGTTAGCTTCCTTCTTTACAATGTAGACTTAAAGGTACATGTTGGCTTCTTTCTTTACAATGTAGACTTAGAGGTACATGGTGGCTACCTCTTTACAATGTAGACTTAGAGGTACATGTTGGCTACCTCTTTATAATGTAGACTTAGAGGTACATGTTGGCTACCTCTAAACAATGTACACTTAGAGGTACATATTGGCTACCTCTTTACAATGTAGACTTAGAGGTACATGTTGGCTACCTCTTTATAATGTAGACTTAGAGGTACATGTTGGCTTCCTTCTTTACAATGTAGACTTAAAGGTACATGTTGGCTACCTCTAAACAATGTAGACTTGGAGGTACATGTTGGCTACCTCTTTACAATGTAGACTTAGAGGTAAATGCTGGCTAACCTCTTTACAATGTAGACTTAGAGGTACATGTTGGCTTACCTCTTTACAATGTAGACTTAGAGGTACATGTTGGCTACCTCTATACAATGTAGACTTGGAGGTACATGTTGGCTACCTCTAAACAATGTAGACTTAGAGGTACATGTTGGCTACCTCTTTACAATGTAGACTTAGTGGTACATGTTGGCTACCTCTAAACAATGTAGACTTAGAGGTACATGTTGGCTACATCTAAACAATGTAGACTCAGAGGTACATGTTGGCTTCCTTCTTTACAATGTAGACTAAGAGGTACATGTTGGCTTCCTTCTTTACAATGTAGACTAAGAGGTACATGTTGGCTGCCTTCTTTACAATGTAGACTAAGAGGTACATGTTGGCTCCCTCTAAACAATGTAGACTCAGAGGTACATGTTGGCTTACCTCTTTACAATGTAGACTAAGAGGTACATGTTGGCTACTTCTAAACAATGTAGACTTATAGGTACATGTTGGCTACCTGTTTACAATGTAGACTTACTGCTACATGTTGGCTACCTCTATACAATGTACACTTGGAGGTACATGTTGGCTACTTCTAAACAATGTAGACTTAGGGGTACATGTTGGCTTCCTTCTTTAAAATGTAGACTTAGAGGTACATGGTGGCTACCTCTAAACAATGCAGACTTAGAGGTATATGTTGGCTACCTCTAAACAATGTAGACTTGGGGGTACATGTTTACTACTTCTGTTAACAGTTTTCGTTTGTTTATACTTCTAGTCCAATTTATGTATAATTGACACTAGCCAATTCCCAATGTTAATTAATGAGGTTCCCTTGAACCCCTGGGCTGATTTAACCATCAGACCGATGTCCAGATACTTGTTCCCTTGTGAGGTCTGTAGTTTGGATGTAATGATGGAGCATATCGACCTTCCCACCGTAATAGGTCCCTAGGCACAGATTTCCAATACCAATTTGTGACAGCCTGTTTCTATGACAGCCTTGAAGAGATGCTGGCTATGCATGGTCAGTCCAGCAATGAGCGACAAAATCTGATTAGTACTTACCAGTATATAGCAGGTTACGAAAACAGTAATTCAACAGACCCACCCAGGGGATAAGACCAGGGACAGATCTAGACCCACCCAGGGGATAAGACCAGGGACAGATCTAGACCGACCCAGGGGATAAGACCAGGGACAGATCTAGACCCCCCCAGGGGATAAGACCAGGGACAGATCTAGACCAACCCAGGTGATAAGACCAGGGACAGATCTATACCAACCCAGGGATAACGACAGGGACAGATCTAGACCAACCCAGGGGATAACAGGAGGGACCAGGGGATAAGACCAGGGACAGATCTATACCACCCCAGGGATAACAACAGGGACAGATCTAGACCAACCCAGTGGATAACAACAGGGACAGATCTAGACCAACCCAGGGGATAAGACCAGGGACAGATCTAGGCCCACCCAGGGGATAAGACCAGGGACAGATCTAGACCCATCCAGGGGATAACAACAGGGACAGATCTAGACCCCTACGGGATAACAGCAGGGACAGATCTAGACCAACCCAGGGGATAACACCAGGGACAGATCTAGACCAACCCAGGGGATAACAGCAGGTACAGATCTAGACCAACCCAGGGGATAACACCAGGGACAGATCTAGACCCACCCAGGGGATAAGACCAGGGACAGATCCATACCAACCCAGGGATAACAACAGGGACAGATCTAGACCAACCCAGTGGATAACAACAGGGACAGATCTAGACCAACCCAGAGGATAACAACAGGGACAGATCTAGACCCCTACGGGATAACAGCAGGGACAGATCTAGACCAACCCAGGGGATAACAGGAGGGACCAGGGGATAAGACCAGGGACAGATCTATACCAACCCAGGGATAACGACAGGGACAGATCTAGACCAACCCAGGGGATAACAACACGGACAGATCTAGACCAACCCAGGGGATAACAACACGGACAGATCTAGACCAACCCAGGGGATAACAACAGGTGAACCCCTGGGCTGATTTAACCATCAGACCGATGTCCAGATACTTGTTCCCTTGTGAGGTCTGTAGTTTGGATGTAATGATGGAGCATATCGACCTTCCCCCCGTAATAGGTCCCTAGGCACAGATTTCCAATACCAATTTGTGACAGCCTGTTTCTATGACAGCCTTGAAGAGATGCTGGCTATGCATGGTCAGTCCAGCAATGAGCGACAAAATCTGATTAGTACTTACCAGTTTATAGCAGGTTACGAAAACAGTAATTCAACAGACCCCCCCAGGGGATAAGACCAGGGACAGATCTAGACCGACCCAGGGGATAAGACCAGGGACAGATCTATACCAACCAAGGGATAACAACAGGGACAGATCTAGACCAACCCAGAGGATAACAACAGGGACAGATCTAGACCCACCCAGGGGATAAAAACAGGGACAGATCTAGACCAACCCAGGGGATAAAAACAGGGACAGATCTAGACCAACCCAGGGGATAAAAACAGGGACAGATCTAGACCAACCCAGGGGATAAGACCAGGGACAGATCTATACCAACCCAGGGATAACAACAGGGACAGATCTAGACCAACCCAGGGGATAACAGCAGGTACAGATCTAGACCAACCCAGGGGATAACAGCAGGGACAGATCTAGACCAACCCAGGGGATAAGACCAGGGACAGATCTAGACCCACCCAGGGATAACAGCAGGGACAGATCTAGACCAACCCAGGGGATAACAACAGGGACAGATCTAGACCAACCCAGGGGATAACAACAGGGACAGATCTAGACCAACCCAGGGGATAACAACAGGGACAGATCTAGACCAACCCAGGGGATAACAACAGGGACAGATCTAGACCAACCCAGGGGATAACAACAGGGACAGATCTAGACCAACCCAGGGGATAACAACAGGGACAGATCTAGACCAACCCAGGGGATAACAACAGGGACAGATCTAGACCAACCCAGGGGATAACAACAGGGACAGATCTAGACCAACCCAGGGGATAACAACAGGGACAGATCTAGACCAACCCAGGGGATAACAACAGGGACAGATCTAGACCAACCCAGGGGATAACAACAGGGACAGATCTAGACCAACCCAGGGGATAACAACAGGGACAGATCTAGACCAACCCAGGGGATAACAACAGGGACAGATCTAGACCA